TGCAGCTTCATGTAGTTCACTAAGCAATGCCAACGGTCTGTGAGGCAGATTGAATTGATACACGTTATTACCGGTCTAGGTTGCACGTGAAAGTTTGTTTCAAGGCAGTGGCATGAACAGGAGTTTAGACGCAGGCGCCTTTTATTTCACGCAGCTGACGCAACGACGAAACTGATCTGTAACTTCAGTGTAGCAGTGCTACTCAGGAGTCAGGTCTGTTCAGCCAGGCGCCCATGCTGTTCATGCCGGACCGGAGGCAATTCCTCGCTTCCGAGCGGCGAGGCCAGGCGCTTTCCCATCGCTTAAATCAACCGCAGTAGCAGGCGAGGTCGTACCCCAGCACCAGGAGGGCCTCCAAGTAGAGCTCGCGCAGGCACATCAGCTCCCTGCGCAGGTGCTCCACGCGCGAGAGCGTCTGCTGCGCGTACCTGATGGGGGGAAGGGGCAGGGGGGGTGAACGTTTTGTTGTTGTAAGTTGTAACGCTTGAGGTCCTCGAGGAATGTCTGGCGCAGGCGACGCGCACATCGAAGAGTGCATTATTATTAATATAAATTTACATCATGCAGTGTGCCTGATACTGCGCTTGATTAGAGCGATGTAATTTATATTAGTAATAATTCACATCGAGGATGCCTCATGACGGCAGGCACACTGCAAAGGAAAGGATTTCTGTTGAGACGTCTGTCCCCGAGGACAGTCTCCCGGACATATCCAGGACCACTTCCCGAGCACACAGATACCGCCCCCCCCCTGAGCCTGGTTACTCAGAGAGCCTGCGGGGCCAAACCGAATTAACCAAAGGGTGCCCACCTAAAGGGGCCTAAGGCGTGCACCTAGAGAATTGAACTCTTGACCTCCGCCCAAAGGTGGGGGTCCTAAACCATTAGACTAGGATCACTTTTGCACAACATGTAAACTATCATTGACAAAAAAAAATCAGGGGGGGGGAGGAGGAGGTGGTACATAAAAAAAAAAAAAAAAAAAAAACCTTTGCCCGTCATCACCCAGCTCGTCACCCAGCTCAGAAGCGGGGCCGTCGAGGAGCCCACGAAGGCCGAAGGGCACTTCGCAGCGCCAGTAGCTAAATAAACAAAAGTGGGGGTTGTTGTGATGAGTGATAGTCCTTCTTATTTTTTGCCTCTTGAAAACAAGTAGCGCCGGTACCATTAAAATCCTTATCATTTATACAAATCATTATCACACACGTACACACACAATTTTTGTACCTGATTATTTCGATTGGGTTTCGTCCAAGCTCGAGCA